CCCTCTCCTGTGTCTAGAGGCCCTGTAGGCAGCAGAAAGAGCTCTATACTGGAATCAAAGGACCACGTTTGGGTGTGTGTGTCTGTGTGTGTGTGTGTGTGTGTGTGTTTAAGATTCTATTTTGGGGGCACCTGGCTGGCTCAGTTGGAGGAGCATGTGACTCTTGATCTTGGGGTCATGGGTCCAAACCCCACCTTGGGTATAGACATTACTAAGAAAAATAAACTTAAAACAATTTTTATTTTTAAGTAATCCTAACACCCAACATAGGGCTCAAATGCACAACCCTGAGATCAAAAGTGGCACGCTCTTCCAACTGAGCCAGCCAGATGCCTTGGACCAAGTCTAGTTATGTAATAATTACCTGTGTGAGGTCCACCTAGTGATTTAACTCCTCTGAGACTTATCTGGAAAATGCAAACATTGAACCCAGTGACCTTCACGGTTTCTTCCCACTCCACGGTTGATGCTCATCGTCACTCATTCACTCCACCAGCTTGGACCAAGCAATGTGCTACAGGCTGGGGAAATGGAGAGTGCAGCAGCCCATCACTGGCCCCAAAGAGCTCACAGCCTAGCACTCCGACGCGGTTCTTTGCGGTAGGTGTCCTAACAGAGGCAAGTTGGTATCACGATGACTCAAACCGTAGAGTCTTGCTTGGAGGGACAAGTAAGGATTCAAGAGAAGGAAATCTTTGAGCTGACTGTTGCATGGTAAGAAGGGGAGGAGGGACATTCCCACCAGAGGGAGCAGAAGGTGCAGAGACACAGGAGCGGGGACCAGCACAGCACAGCCAGTTCACCACAAGTGGTTGGATGTGGGTGGAGTAGAGATTTTGTTCACAAGAAAAGGAGATGAATCTTTTTTTGCCTCTGCCCCTCATAGAGGCATGGGGACCCAACTGCAGGCTCCTAAGTGGTGGAACAACACAGTCTTTTTTTTTTTTTTAAGATTTTATTTATTTATTTGTCAGAGAGAGAGAGAGCACAAGCAGGGGGAGTAGCAGGCAGAGGGAGAGGGAGAAGCAGACTCCCCGCTGAGCTGGGAGCCTGATGCAGGACTCCATCCCGGGACACTGAGATGGTGACCTGAGCCAAAGGCAGACACTTAACAATCTGAGCCACCCAGGCGCCCTGGAACAACACAGTCTGATATGTGTTTGGAAAGATCATGCCAGGGGCAAGGATGGGTAGAGGAAAGTAGGTAACAAGTCTGGGGGGTGTAGAAAGATCCATCAGAAAAACGTTCCAAGAATCCAGGTGAGAAATACCAGGGCCTGAACTAAGGCAGGAGCGATAGGGATGGGAGAAAGGACAGAGACAAGACTTCTTCCAGGTTAAGGGGAAAGAACATATAGCGATACACAGGGTGTGAAGCAAGTAATCTAGGAGGAGTCTCAAAGATGGTGAAGAACATCCTATATAGCTGACTGGATGAGAATTCCACCATTTTTGGGAAACTTGTATCATTTTAAAGACAGTTCCTTAACATGCCAGCAAAAACACTCCCTTGGAAACGGCTGCCTCATTCCTAAGATCCTACAGCAATGGAGATACATTTTTCAAATACTTTCCAAGGCATTTTCATTATCGTTGAGAGATAGTCTCTCACTGCACCATGGGGCTTAATGTCCTAGGGAAGGAGAAAGGCGGATACCATCTAGAATAAAATCCAAAGGGCAGGAAAGGAGGAAGATATGATGAAAAAGAAGTCTCTGAAAAACATAAAGAACAAGTACAAACTCTTTTGGTATTTGGAGGGAGAGAGGAAGGGGATGGGGACACCCAAAGTCCATGCTCTCCCATTCATGTCCAACCTTGATGGCAGTGTGGAGTAGAAAATGTCCCCAGAGGTTGAGAGCATGCCAGAAACAAAAACATCTTATGCCCTGCTCCTTGAATGGAGCCCTGGGGCAGCAACCCTTGCCATGGGTCCCTATGTCTATCTGGGGTGGCTGCAGCAAAGTAGAGACAACTGCATGGTATGTTTAGTCTGGGAGAGTCTTTAGATATCCTCCCCCACCCTGCCCCATCCTAATTTCTCTTGGCTTGAGTGTGGCCCAGGAGAAACCCAGAAGTTTCTAGAGCTGCCAGGGAATGCAGAAGAGCGTGGAGAGTGGAGAGCCTATGGACCTCCCTTGGGAAATGGAAAACATGCAGAGACATGGAACAGGTGTAGGTTTGTATGGACAGAACCAGCAGAGCTGAAACAGGACCAATGAGTCAAGTGGACCATCCAGCCCCACCAGCCAGGGCCTCACCATGGACGCCAGCAGAGCAGATGGGTGAAGGACAGCCCCGCAGAGGCCACTGAGGACCAGAGAATAGCATCAGGTCCAGCATCCAGACTTACCCTCTGCCATTGCCCCAGATCCATCCACAGGGTAGGGGAGCAGGGGAAGGGGCAGGAGGGACACACCTAGAGAGCAGGTAACAGTGTAGGCAGGATTGACTGCATATGTATCCAAAAGGGCTGAACTACTTTAATAAAACAATTTTAGACTTTTATTAAAGTAGTTAGAAGAGTTAGAAAGGCTAGGGCGCCTGGGTGGCTCAGTCGGTGGAGTGTCCGATTCTTGATTTTGACTCAGATCATGATCTCAGGGCGGTGGGATCAAGTCCCACATCGGGCTTCAAGCACAGTCTGCTTGAGATTCTCTCTCTCCCTTCCCGCTGCCTGATCTCTCTCTCTCTCAAGTAAATAAATAAAATCTTTTAAAAAATAAAGCAGAAAAGGCTAGTTTTCTTTTAGTTGGCAAGTTTAAATTCTCCCACATAATATTAATGGAAAGAAGGGGCGCCTAGGGGGCTCAGTCATTAAGCGTCTGCCTTTGGCTCAGGTCATGGTCCCAGGGCCCTGGGATCGAGCCCCACATCGGGCTCCCTGCTCCGTGGGAAGCCCGCTTCTCCCTCTTCCACTCCCCCTGCTTGTGTTCCTGCTCTCACTGTCTCTCTCTCTCTGTCAAATAAATAAATAAAATCTTTTTTAAAAAATGGAAAGGAGAATTTGTGAAGAAGTTTATATTCGTTCTAAAAAATAAAGAGGCTAAATTTTTCTTTTTTTGAAGTATGTAATTTTGACACCTCCCCAATTTATTTTTAAATCAGGTTTATGGGGCATAATTTATATACAGTAAATTCATCCTTTTAAAGTGTACATTCAGGGGTGCCTGGGTGGCTCAGTCGTTAAGCGTCTGCCTTCGGCTCAGGTCATGATCCCAGGGTCCTGGGATCGAGCCCCGCATCGGGCTCCCTGCTCCGCGGGAAGCCTGTTTCTCCCTCTCCCACTCCCCCTGCTTGTGTTCCCTCTCTCCCTGTGTCTCTCTCTGTCAAATAAGTAAATAAAATCTTAAAAAAAATAAAATAAAAAACAAATTTGTAAAGTTGTACATTCAGCAAATTTTGACAAATGTATACAGTTGTATAATCATAACCTCAGTTAACATCCAGAACAGTTCCATCACCCCAAAAAGTCTCTTGTAGCCCTCTGCACAGTCAGGTCCTCCCACCCTTAGCCTCTGGCAACCACTGATCTGTTTTTTGTTTTGTTTTTTTTTAAAGATTTTATTTATTTATTCATGAGAGACAGAGAGAGAGAGAGAGAGAGAGAGGCAGAGGGAGAAGCAGGCTCCCAAGGAGCAGGGAGCCCGATGCAGGACTTGATCCCAGGACCCTGGGGTCATGACCTGAGCCGAAGGCAGACGCTTAACCATCTGAGCCACCCAGGCGCCCTGATCTGTTTTCTGTCTCATAATTTTACCTTTTCCAGAATGTTGTATATGTGGAACCACATACTATGTAGCCTTTTGTACTGAACTTTTAAACAGTATCTACCTCTGCTTCCTCCTCTTCTTCCACTCACCTTCTCTACAAATTGCTTTATACGGACAAATCCCGACCAGCAGCTGTGGCTGCAGCTTCCCCACCCACCACTGGACCCTTTGGCAAACCCCAGCCCCCCAGGGTCCATGGGTCTAGGTATTTACCATCCTAGACATCTTTGTTCTCTGAAATGTTTGCTATTCTTTTCTTTTTTTTTAAGATCTTATTTATTTATTTGACAGAGAGAGACACAGCGAGAGAGGGAACACAAGCAGGGGGAGTGGGAGAGGGAAAAGCAGGCTTCCGGCAGAGCAGGGAGCCCAATGCGGGGCTCGATCCCAGGACCCTGGGATCATGACCTGAGCCGAAGGCAGATGCTTAACCGACTGAGCCACCCAGGCGCCCCTGTTTGCTATTCTTTTAAAGGTGGTTTGGTGTTTTTGTCTCTTGGGACACAGATCCCCCTCTTTAGATGCCTCCTCACAGTTTCCTCTCCTCCTCCTCCCCCTGGGTCCTCCCTGCCCGGCACCCCGGGTACCTGGGGAATCCATACACTCTGGCCTCACCTCTCTGACCTTCAAGCATCCCTCTTCTTGGCCTTCCTCCTCTCCTTAGCCTCCGTCCTTTGTCACCTTGCTTTCTGTGCCTGGGCTAGCTCATGACCCTCACAGCCACACACGCAGCCTGCTGCCCAAGAGCCTCCCAGCACCATTTGGTTCATTGGTTTGGGGTTTGTTGACAGTTGGGTTTTTCTCTCTTAGTGAGGAAGAAGCAAGAAACCTCAACACTGCAATTTCCTCCCCACCCCAGAGTGATGGTGACAAATTCTGAGTCTCCGGGGCAGGGACAGTGTCTCTCCGTGCCCTGTTGAGTGTTGCCTGCATCATGGTGAAGAAATAAGGAGGTGAAAGGCAAGGCGGGAGGGCACAGCATCGGTGCTTAGGGGTGGGACTCAATTTGTCTCAAGAGAGAAGACTTCAAAGGTGTTTCTCTTCCCGCCTGTGCCAGACATTTGCAAGCTAACTCTGCCTCACAGGAGCTACACACCCCCTCTTCATTGGCCACAAGCCTTTGCAAAGGGTCATGCCCAGAAAACTGAGCATCCTCCTGTGTCTCGAGCAGGAAGGGCACTTGCTGTGGGGGAGGAGGGCAGAAGTGTATGGCAAAGTGTAAGTGCCCAAATAGAGTGTGCTGTGGGACAGTTCTTCCCTGATGTCCCTGACACCATCACCTAACTCAGAGGCAGCCAGAGGGGAGTCCAGGCTATAGTCAAGCCTTTCGCTGAAACTGGTATTATCAAAGACCTCAGGCTTTAATCACTACTCCAGGAGACAGAAGGGGCAGGAAGGCAGGTTCTGTGTTCATTCAGCTACCTGCTCAGCTAAATGATTTGGAAACCAGCTCTGTAGTTAGACTGCCGGGTTCTAGTCCTGAGCTCCTTCCCTGACTACCCTCGAGGCTGAGAGCAAGTTACCCAGTGCCTCAATTTCTCCACCTGCAAAATGAGGGGGGTCACTGGAACTGGGCTGCAATGGAGATGGAATGAGAGAATCCATATGCACCTGGCACATAAGAACGGCTCAGAAGATGGTAGCTGCTATGAGCATTATTTTTTCCAGTTAGGAACTAAGGATCCTGAAATCTCAAGCTATTCAAGGTGAAGTTAACAAGAAGAGAATCGCCAAGTCTCAGGGTACAGAAACTTACTGACACCCTCAGTGAAATCGAACCCAGCTCCTCCAAGGCTGGCGGTAGAAGTGAAATTCTCACAGGGGTAGGGAAGGGTTGCAACCTTCCTCACTCACAGGGGCACCAGTGAGATGCAGGAGAAACCTCCAGGGAAAGGTGAATCTTGGGAGACAGAGCCAAGAGATCCCGCCATCCTTCCCATGGGGAGAATCTCCTGGCAGCCAGAGCCAACCTCGAAGGAAGCGGATTTGATTTTATTAAGGAAGTCAACACGTTTCCTTCCATCCAACGTGGACTCTGTGTTGTTTAGATTATTGGTTTCCAGGATGTGAAATGTCATCCTAGGACAGAACCTGGAAAAAAACGGGCCAAATGCCTCTTTAGAGAGCTTCAGCCAACTATTGAAGAAAGTGGAGCCTGCCTTCCGGATACTTAACAACCAAACCATATGCCATTCAGAGAGCAACAGTAACAACTGAGGTAATAATAACAGTAAGCTTTTTTTTTCTTTTTAGCAGTTGTGATAAAAAGGCTCAGAACAATCCTGTCAAGCTAGCAGTATTATTCCCATTTTATAGAATAGGAACCTGAGGCTTGATGAATTTAAATAGCCTGCTGAGATCACGACGACAGTAGATGACTGAGTGGATATGAACTGGCACCTATTTTTTGTTTTCTTTTGTTTTGTTTTTTTTCCCCCTAGCTTTATTGGGATATAACTGACAAATAACACTGTGGACGTTGAAGGTATACAATGTGATGACTTGATACACAGATCTATTGTGAAATGATTACCACAGTATGGTTAGCTAATGCCTTCATTACCTCACATAGTTACCTTTTGTGTGTGTGTCACTTAAGATCTTAGTCACTTAAGATCTCTCAGCAATTTTCAAAATACAGTATGGTACAGTGAACTGTACATTTGATCCATAAATTTGGGTCTGTTTGAATTCAGAGCCTAAGTTCTTACCAGTGTTCTGTCTCTTAGAGGACCTTTCAACCTAGTGAGAAAAGCATGTGTAAGATCTGCCTTCTGTCAACCATCTTTTGGTAGTTATTTTCTCTTTAAATTTTGGGAAGTTTGGGGGCACCTGGTTGGCTCAGTCGTTAATCGGCTGCCTTCGGCTCAGGTCATGGTCCCAGGGTCCTGGGATCGAGCCCCTCATCGGGCTCCCTGCTCCGCGGGAAGCCTGCTTCTCCCTCTCCCACTCCCCCTGCTTGTGTGCCCTCTCTCGCTGTGTCTCTCTCTGTCAAATAAATAAAATCTTTAAAAAATAAATAAATAAATTTTGGGAAGTCTGAAGGCGCAGCCCCAAAGAAAGACCAAGTAGCTCATTTCTGCCCCCTAGAGGACATAACCTACCCTACTGAGAATAAAGACCGGAAGGCAGTGTTTAAAAAAGTGTGTTCAAAATCCCAACCTGAAGGTCCAGCCTGCAAGAAACAAATCTAAAAAGAACCCCCTTTAGTTTATGAAAGGTTGGTGATAAGAGGTTGGGGATTTTCTGGACCAGGAGTGAGAACACCCTATCAAGGGTGGGACCTGCAGTCAAGACTGGAGATTTCATTTTTAACACCGGCCCCCAGATGATTCTTATGCTCAGGCAAGTCTTTGGGAAACACAGATGCATATGATTCATTCATCCTACAAGGGTTGGAAGAATGCCTCCTATACAGCCCATTATGACTTCAGCATGGGGCAGACTCCAGGGGAGTTGAATATGGGTCCCTGCCTTCAGTCAATTACATCACCTCTCAGAGCTTTGGCTTCCTAATTTAGAAAATGGCCCATTCTGTAACTGGTATGGAAGCCAGGAGACCCAGGTTGTGCCTGCAGACAGGGTGTGCTTTACTTAATGTCCCTGACCTCAGTTTCCCTGTCTGTAAATGAGAGGGTGAATACTCATCAAGTTTCCTTCCTGCTCCAAGATCTCTGCCAGACCTCAACCCCCTGTCAAGTGGCTACAGGGAAGCCTTGAGTGACCTGCTTAGGAGGTTGGTCTCCACAAGGGCAGAGACCCGCATCCTGCCACACTGCTCACAGCTCTTCTAGAAGTAGCTGGGGTTTAGAGCTTTGCATGTCCCTGATGTTTGCATTCACAGCCACACTGTAGGATCCTTCTTTTCACTGCCGTGTGGCATGCAAAGTTGGGCTCCTGTTCACGCAAAGATGCTGGGGCAAGGAAAGTTGATTTGGAAAAGGAAAGTTCTCTAGAATCCCAGGAAGAGGGCTTCTGGAATCAGATTGACCAGTCTTCAAATCCTAGCTCTGCTACTCATTAGCATTCTATATTTGGTTTACTCATCTGTAAAATGCGCAAAAGATAGTACCTATCTCATTGGGTTGTAGTGAAGATGAAATGAGATGATGCCATGAAAAGTGCTTATATTAATATTTGGTACATAATGGGGATTCTGGAATGTCCCCTGACTGCCACAACTGGGAAATGGCAAGGCAGTTCATAATCAGTACTCCACACAGACATTTAGCACCCAACTAACTCCTTCAGGGAACTCCAACTTGACCTCTGTAATGATCTGAAATGCCAGTGTTCCCTCGCTCATGTTTAAAGGGCTTCCTGTGAAGCCAAGCCTTCCTCCCCACATTGCTCATGGTGAGTCTTTAGTGGGTCCTTGGGCTCACAGTGCCACTCCCAAGTCCTTGGAGAGTAGCACATCTGGGTTTGAGGCTGCAGGAAAAGAGATGCATGGGGGGCCCAGAGCAGGCCACGGCCTCGCTGATGTGCTTTACAGGAGCCAGCCCAACAAGCAAGACCTAGGAGGCCAACCTGGGCCCTGCTTCCCACTTGCGTTGTTTGCAGTTGAACAGTGAATAATTATTGCCCTTGCCTGTATAATATGCTCCTGCTTTTGACTAAAATGAAACAAAAATAAAATCCACAAAGACACCCAGGCACTGCAAGGTAGCAGCAAACAAGCATATGGGATTGGCCGGAAAGACTACTAATATCTAAAGAGCAAATTGCTTATTGACTGAAGAGAAAGGTCTTAATAAGAACTGGCCTTAGCCCAAAACACAGCTTCTGAACCTGCACCATCTCACTCCAACCCAAGGGGACAGCGGCAGCTGGGGGCCTGTGGGGCTGACTCAGGGGGGATAGAGGAGCTCTGGCCTCATGATTGACAAAGGGTCCCACACTCTGGCTTTTGACATTATCTCCAAATGACAGGATTGGAAGAAGGTGACATTCAGGGTGGAGCTCTAAACCCGTGTTCCATCACTGTCTATAGAGCACTTCGTGTAATATATTTAAAATATGTCCTGGAATTATCTTGCAAAAGCACATTACCTTTACTTTAATTTTCTGTGGTAAAAGCATTAATCTGTCAAAGGTCAACATTTTAAATATACCACAGTTCTCAGTAATATTTCTGGGGGGATAGGTGCATTTTTTTCATATTTTCATATACTAGAGTTTTATTTTTTATTTATTTATTTTTAAAGTAAGCTCTACACCCAATGTGGGGCTTGACCTCATGACCCTGAGATTAAGAGTCACATGTTTGATTGACTGAGCCAGCTAGGGGCCCCTATACTAGGAGTTTTAAAAAATGCACGTGGAGGGCGCCTGGGTGGCTCAGTTGGTTAAGCGACTGCCTTCGGCTCAGGTCATGATCCTGGAGTCCCGGGATCGAGTCCCACATCGGACTCCCTGCTCGGCGGGGAGTCTGCTTCTCCCTCTGACCCTCTTCCCTCTCATGCTCTCTATCTCTCATTCTCTCTCTCTCTCAAATAAATAAATAAAATCTTTTAAAAAAAAATAAATAAATAAAAAAATAAAAAATGCACGTGGGGACACCTGGACGGCCCAGTTGATTAGCATCTGACTCTTGATTTTGGCTCAGGTCATGATCTCGGGGTTGTGAGATCGAGCTCTGCATTGGGCTCCTGGCTCAGTGGGGAGTCTGCTTAAGATTCTCTCTCTCTCCCGGGGCGCCTGGGCGGCTCAGTCATTAAGCATCTGCCTTCGGCTCAGGTCATGATCCTAGGGTTCTGAGATCGAGTCCCTATATCAGCCTCCCTACTCGGCAGGGGACCTGCTTCTCCCTCTGCCTCTCCCCCTGCTCGTGTTCCCTCTCTCGCTGTCTCTCTGTCAGATAAATAAATAAAATCTTAAAAAAAAAAAAAAAAAGATTCTCTCTCTCCCTCTCCTGCTGCCCCTCCCCCTGCTCATTTTCTCTTTCTCTCTCTGTCAAATAAATAAATAAATAACTCAAAAAAAAAAATGCATGTAACTGTGGGTCAGTCTTGAGCCCCAAGAGGCCCTGGCCAGGGCCTGGAGATGAGAGCAAAGACTTGGTGCGGCCCTAGTTGTAACTGTGTCTGCACTGCAAAAAATGGTTTCTCCCAGACGCCTGGGTGGGTCAGTCAGTTTAAGCGACTGCCTTCTGCTCAGGTCATGATCCTGGAGTCCCGGGATCGAGTCCCACATCGGGCTCCCTGCTCGGCGGGGAGTCTGCTTCTCCCTCTGACCCTCTTCCCTCTCGTGCTCTCTATCTCTCATTCTCTCTCTCAAATAAATAAATAAAATCTTAAAAAAAAATGGTTTCTCTCTTTTCCAAATTGGTTTTTCTTGGGATCTCTGTGCTTTCTGGACAAGAAGGGAGAACCTGGCGAAGGGTCGGTCCTCCCTTCTCATTCAGAGGAGATACAGCTGCAAGGACAAACCCTAAAAATGCCTCTTGTTCAGCCAAACTGACAGGGGCCCCTAAGTATATTCACACAGGGAGTGTCTGTCCCGCTGTCTACACCCATTCCACCAGGGTCTGAACTACAGGCATTGCTCATTTTTCTGGATTCATGACAGCTCTAAAGCATGGCCCCAGATAGCACCAACTTTTTCACTTCTTATGTAAACTTCCAAAGCCTACAGTAAAATACATCAAAATTCTAACTTGAGTATTTGCCACCTGTCCCTGTCCCTGTATGACTGAGACGATGTGCTTGGCCTCGGTATCTAGGATCCTTTGTTAATCTGACTTGTCTCCGAAATGAGTTTCAAGGAAATAGGGTGAAAGCCTCCCTCTCCAAATTTCCTCTCTAGAAGTTGATAAAAATGTCAGTGATGGACCATATCCAGCAAGAGTGCCGGCAGCCAACACACAATCTCGGATGAATCACAGCCACACCCTTTTCTCACGCAGAGTGCCAACAGCCTAACTTTTGGAGCCCACTTTTCTCACACATAGCAGGAAAATCCAGAAAGGCCTAGAGGTGAACCAGAGAGCCCTGAGTTTGCATCTTTCTCAGGGATGAACTGTTCACTCAATAAACATATATATAAATGTTTTTTAAGGCAATATTTTTAAAAATTGAGATACACTTCACATAACATAAAATTCACCGCTTTGAAGTTCACGAGTCGATGTTTTTTAGTATATTTCCTATGTTATACAATCATCATCACTCTCTAATTCCAGAGCATTTCCGTCATGACAAGAAACCTCATAAGTCACTCTCCCTTACCTCCTCCCCCAGTCCCTAGCAACCACTGATCTACTTGGTGTCTTTATGATTTACCTATTCTGGACATTTCATAAAGTGAAATCATCCTCTATGCAGTCTTTTGTGTCTGGTTTCTCTCACTTAGCACCCTGTTTGCAAGGCTCCGTGTTATACCCACGTTGCAGCGTGTAACAGTGTATCGGTATGTCATTCCTTCTAATTGCTGAAACACATTCCATTGGATGGATACACCACCTTTTATTCATCCATGCCTGAGTTGATGGACATTTGGGTTGTTTCAATTTTTTGGCTGTTACGAAAGTTGTTATGAACATTCATTCACAAGCGTCTGTGTGGACAGATGTTTTCAATTCTCTTGGGTGTATACCTAGGAGTGGAATTGCTGGGTCATATGGCAACTGTATGTTTAACTGTTGGAGGAACTGCCCGACCATTTGCCCCACTCAGTATGTGTTAACTGAGCCCTGCCATGCTGCTGGGCTAGGAACCAACAGCCCTAAAGTGAACAGACCTAGCCACCTGCCCCCATGGAGCATACAGTCCAGGAAGAGAAGGAGGCATTAAACAGATAATTAAAAAATAGATTTTTTTTTAGCACACCTGAGGATTGAACAAGGTCATAGGACAAGAATACAGACACTCTTGAAACATCAAATCTGTGATACCAAAAAAAAAAAAAAAAACCCAAAAAAAAAAATCATCTCACAAAAAAAAAAAAAAAAAAAAACCCAAAAAACAAAACCACCTCTCAAAAAACAAAAATGAAGTTCTTGTAATTCAGCGGGTTCCTGAAAGTTCTCACCATCTGGGGGCAGAGAAACTCCACATAGGTGCTCTGGTAGCATCGGAAATGATTTACAGGGATATTTAGACTTGGAAATGTAAGCAGGGAACAGGTTACAAAGTTTCAGGATGATAATTCTTTTTTTTTTTTAAAGATTTTATTTATTTATCTGAGAGAAAGAATGAGAGAGAGAGAGAGAGCACATGAGAGAGGGGAGGGTCAGAGGGAGAAGCAGACTCCCTGCTGAGCAGGGAGCCCAATGCGGGACTCGATTCCGGGACTCCAGGATCATGACCTGAGCCGAAGGCAGTCGCTCAAACCGACTGAGCCACCCAGGCGCCCCCAGGATGATAATTCTTGATGTCTCCCTTCAAGAGGTTGAAGAAACTCTCACACTGGCTTCCTCCTCCTCAAGAGGGATTCAGGGCCACGCCTCCTTAAGGCCAAAGAGGAGGGACCACCTTCTTCACCGGCCCTCTGCCTTCCCGACTCAGCCCTCAGCAGCGTCCCCTTCCTGGCAACTATTCCCAACATTCACTTAAACAAAATCAATGCCCTACTTTTTAAAGGAGCAGTTAATTGTTCAGCCTCTTACAAGAAGAAGGGAAGCCCTGAAAATGTCAGCAATGAATTCCCAGTGATGTCAAAGTTTGATTTGACCTCGGGAGGTTAAAGTCGCCATATTTCAAGAGGCATAATTTACAAAGTTTTATTCCTGTTGAATTAATCCAAAATATTTGTACTTTGGGGGCACCCGGGTGGCTCAGTCAGTTGAGCATCTGCCTTCGGCTCAGGTCATAATCCCAGGGTCCTGGGATCGAGTCCCCGCGTCAGGCTCCCTGCTCAGTGGGGAGTCTGCTTCTCCCTCTCCCTCTGCTCCTCTCCCCACTTGTGCTCTCTCTTTCTCTCTCAAATAAATAAACAAAACCTTAAAAAAATATTTGTACTTTGACCGAGGTCCTGGGCTCAGTGCTGTGGGAAGATACAAAAAAAAAGCACAAGCATCTGCATCAGTCACTATGCTTAAGAAAGTGTGCGGAGAGAGAGAAGAGACTAGGACGGGATGCACACAGCACAGGTGAGTCCCAGGAGTGCTGGAGCTGAACGATACACAGTCATGCAGGGAGGAAGAGAATTCCCCTCGGGCTAGGCTGGGAGCCCAAGGCTTGGGGAAGGTAGTGGGACAGGCAACACACAGGCTACCAGCAGGGGAGATGGCAGATGATGGGGGCAAAGGCCCAGGGGTAGGAATTTAAAGGATATGTTAAGTCTGACAAAAAGGTTCCTGAATGAAGCTTCATTAAAAAAAAAAAAAAAAAAAATGAGGCCTCTTTGAAGTTTCTAGTTTTTATCAGATAGTCCCAGTAAGACCTAAGATTTTTCTTTCATCCCTAAACAAAGAGAGGCCCAACTACTGGGGTACAGCGATCTGAAAGAGAACACTGGATAGCCCTTCAGCTTCTTGTTCCCATGCTTCACCCTCAGTGTGGACAATGCCCTAAAAACGTAGGGGCCCTCGATACCAATGACAGTGGACACATGAGAAAAGACTCTTCCCTGATCCTGGCTGGTGCTGGATCCCTAAAGGAGCAGGGTGGGGCCTCCACTGGGGCTCTCTGGGATGGGTGGACAACCCCCTGCAACACACACACACACAGCGGTCCTACCCCTCACATGTGGCATGGGGCTGTTTGCCTTCCATCCTCTGTTTTAACACTGGTTGTTTCATTTCTGTACTCCCCAGACTTTTTCCTTGTTGTCTCCATAGGAATCTTTGGAATTTCTCTCTTCCCTTCCTTCATAGCACCAGTTCTCAATAAGGGAGCTACTATTCTCCAGGAGGTGTTTTAGAATTTTGTGGAGGCTTTTTTTGGTTATCTCAATGCTGGGAGGGGCACTACTGGCTTTTAGTAGGGAGAAATCAGGAAGTCCTCCTGCAATGTGCTGGAGAGTTCTGCAGGAATCATCCTATAGACCACACGATGTTAGAATGCTCCATTCTATAGGGGACATTTCTATAGGTACACAGGTATAGAGACATTTCTATAGGTAAAACAATCTACTTACAGTGCTTTGAGCCTTGAAACCTAACTCCATTTTACACATGAACACAATGTATTTTTTACCTACTTTTATAAGCCCAGTTTAACTATTGACCCCCTCCCAGGAATGCAATTACCACGGAAACAGAGGGAAAATTGCACTTCCTTTTGTGTCGAATTTTACGGTATTCAGCATTTTGGAAAAATCACACTACCTACAGCAACTCTACTAGTGTTTTTTGAGCTTCCCAGACAACACACCTGGGGCAGTCTGCATCTTTAGTGGTGTTGTGTGTGGGTGCAGGACGTCTGACTCCTCTGCTGTAACTTCTAGGGCAACCACACCCAAGAATTTACATTTTTGAAAGTAACATTTTAAGTTGGTGTCCTTTTCCCTTATATTAGAGTTAGATGTTTGAGACATTTGTATTTTCCAAAGATGCCACACCAATATATACCCCATTCCACGTGCTTTCCTTACAACATGACATTGATATTCCTCCCTCCACTGAGCTTGGAGCGGGGTGGGTGGGGCATGGCAGGTGAGGGGGTGGAATGCAATGTTCCTTCCCCTTGCACTTGGGTGGACCTTTGTAACTGCCTTGACCAATAGAATGTGGTAGAAGTAATGTTATGTGATGTCTGAAACTAGGTGTGATGGTTAATTTTGTGTGTCAACTTGGCTGAACCACCTTGCCCAGACATCTGGTCAAGCATTATTCTTGATGTTTTTGTGAAAGTGTTTGTGGATGAGATTAACCTTTAAGACTGTAGACTTTGAGTAAAGGAGATTGCTCTCCATAATGTAGGTGAGCCTCACCCAATCAGTTGAAGACTCAAATAGAACAAAAGACTGAAAGGGGGAATTCTGTAGCTAGTGGCCTTCAGACTTGAACTGTAGCAATGGCTCTTTGAGTCTCCAGCCTGCTGGCTCACTTTGCAGATTTCGAACTTGCATTTAGGAATTACAGATTTGGGTATATATATATATATACCTTACTGGTTCTGTTTTTCTTAAGAACACTAATATGCTAGGTCATAAAAGTCAATACAGCCTTCACCTTGCTCTCTCCTTCCTTTGGGTACTTGCCTTGGAAAAAAAGCCACTATGTTGTGAGGAAGCCCAGGCAACATGGAGAAGCCACGTGTGGATGTTCCTGCCAACAGGCACCTAGCTGGTAACCAGCCTCAGTAACCAGTGAGTGAGTAAAGGAGTGAGTAAAGGAGCCTGTGAGAGACACCAGCCCCCAGCCTTCATCAACAACTGTAATCTGAAGCCCCAGACATCCCAGGGCAGAGAATAGCCATCCTCACTGTGTTTGGTCTGAATTACTAACCAATAGAAATCTTGAGATAATAAATGATTAAAGAATTTCACTTCAAGACTTAGTTCAAAATTTTTTTATTTAAATGGTTTGATACTTGAAAGATAGCGTCCCTAGGAGTGCCTGGGTGGTTCAGTCGTCCAACTCTTGACTTCCACTCAGGTCATGATCTCAGGGTCGTGAGATAGAGCCCCACGCTGGCTCCGCACTTGAGTGTGGTGCATACTTAAGATTCTCTCTCTCCCTTTCCCTCTGCCCCTCTCCACTCTCTCTCTCTCTCTAAAAGAAAGAAAGAAAGAAAAAGAAAGAAAAAGAAAGAAAGAAAGAAAGAAAGAAAGAAAGAAAGAAAGAAAGAAAAGAGAAGAAAGAAAGAAAAAGAAAAGATAGGGTCCCTAAAGAGTGAAGATTAAAATGGTAATAAGGACTTTGCTATCAAACCTATGAAAATTGAGCACACCCTACCTAGTCTAGGGACACACCTGCCCTTGGTGACTTCCTGACCAGGTGCTTTAGGTGATAAAGCAGAGTAAGGCCCAAACCACACCCTCTAATATCTGGCCTGGAAAGATGCTACTTCCTGTCTCAGTGAGTTCCCACCCAGACCCTCAGGGGTCTGGCCTCCCACATGCACCTCCAGTCTGGGCCTGCCCACATTCCAGGGAAACCGAAGGCCAGCTTTGAGGAAGAAGCCGCTGACCAGGAGTTGACTAGCTGCTTTCCTGATCTTCCGAAAACCAGGGCATTTAGATGGATCACCTCTGGGTCCAGAGTCCTGCCCTCTGGAGGCCCAGAGGAAATTCAATCAAGCCCCAGGCTGTTCAGGAAGAGATAGAAGCTAGCCCCCCTCACCACAAGAACAGGAAGCCCAGACTGGGAAGCAAGGGTTCCGCGCCTGAGCTTTCCTTCACACGGCAACACTTAACTTGGGGATCTGAATCCGGGCCAAAGAAAATCATTCTGACAGTGGCTGGTCCCAAAGACAACAATGCCCATGATGACGGTGACATGTTCTCAAAGCAGAACAGCAGAAGGGAGCCAGGGAGGGTCCCAGCCACGAAGCTGGCAAGCCCGTGTTGAGTACAATAGAAGTTCTTCATCCCCTTGAAAAGCATGTGGGCAATAAAGATAACCAGAGTTTATGCAGGGCCTGCCGTGTGCCCGGCACCAGGTTCAACTCTTTACAAACATGGTCTTATCACATTCTTAAAATATCCTCTCAAGTAGGTACAGTATTTGCTCCACTTTACAGATGAGGACACAGACTTGGCCTGCAACGCGAGTCAAGGTGTGCTGCATTTCAAAGCCTGCGCTCTGACCCCCTGTGCTGTTATCCTGACCCCCGCTTAACCCCTGAATGTGTACTCCCCAAGTACAAGACAAGCTCCTCCGTGACCACTGGACAACCATAACAATCAGGAAACTGACACTGCTTCAATAATACCATGTGATCCACAGCTCCCAGTCAGATTTCGCTGGTTGTCCTAATGACGCCACTTACAGGTCCAGCATCCAAACTGGGATCCCAGTTGCATTCAGTTGTCATGTCTTTTAGTCTATTCCAACCTAGAACAGTTCCTCAGACATGCCTCATCTTTCATGACCTTGACAGTTTTTGAAGAGCACAGGCCGGTTACACTATGTCACGCCCTCCAACTTGAGTTTGTCTGATGATTCCTCGTGGTTTATACATTTGGGGCAGGAATACCACAAGAACGGTGCTGTGTTCTTTTCAGGGTATTGTATTAGGAGGCACATGACATCAATTTGCCCCATTCCTGATAAACACAGAGAGACTTTTAACCAAGGACTTGGAGTCATATACTAAGAAAATAACTGTAAGAGCCTAGAATTCCCATGCCCGCCCCACCGCCCAGCTCCACAAATCCCATTTTGAGGGGAAGCCAGCTGGGCAGAGGCCAGACCCGGTCTAGAAGGGGAACAACAATATCGCTGGAAGGTGTTAGGACCGAACAGGCTATGTTTGTCCAGACTCGTCCTAGGGAGGGAACGGGAGTGGTAGGAAGGAGTTCTTCCCCAGCCATTTGGGGAGCAGGGAAAGACCCCACAGGGGCATTCTCAAACAACTGGAAGACCAAAGAGCTGGACTCGAAACACGAAGCTGCCTCAGGACAGGGAAGGAAAACACAAAGCAAGAAAAAATGAGCAGAAGGACAGAGGAAAAACAGGACACAACAGTATCATCACAAAGGCTCAAGGTATTTGTTTCATGTAACTGCCTAGGTGTTTAAAAAGTAAGCTTAAAACCCATATAAACCAAGCCTAAGGATATAAAACTTATGACCTCCACATCTTAAATAAAAGCCCACTTGAAATGAAACAAAACAATGGAAAAGAAATAAAAAGTAAGCTGATTTTGATGTATCTCTTAGTCCGTAGACTTGTAGCCAAATAACCTGTGCTGATAATCCCAGATCGTTGGGGAAATTCCTCCGTCTTGCTGAGACTCACGTTTCTCATCTGTGAAATGAGGAGGAAGAGCACCTCACAGCATTGCCCCGAGGACTAAATAAGACACCCCTCGTCATGTATTTGGGCAATCCTGACTGTGTGCCGACCGCGTAGCACCACGGTTCCTGGGCTGGGAATTCAGCAGAGGACACAAGAGCCCCCACGGAGCTGACATTTGGGGGGGCACAGCCTACCAGAGTGTTCTGTAAGCTGTCATGCACTGCTGTCACGCCCTGGGCACATTGAAGGAGTCACTGCTATTCAAAGGTAATAGTGAGTGTGACCTAGGTATTGGGGAAATCAAGTCACAGAGGTGACGTAAACCACAGTAGTACCAAGCTGAGACACGAAGTCACTCCCAATTCTCTTCAGAGTCTGTTATCTGGGAAAGAAACGTGCCTATCTGAAAACCTATCATGGATGACGGGAGCAGAAAAACTCTGGAAGAATACTGACCAAACTTGTCGGGGGGGGGGGGGAAGGATGAGAGACAAAGTGTTACTCAGCTGCAGCTGCTGAGTCAGGAGCAAACCGGGCGTCGTCGTATGATCTGAGGAGTCTGGAGACCTGCTGAGTGAAAAGTTGCTCCCGGCACTAGGGCTTCGGCTTTCTCTTTGCCTTTCTGACTTTCTCTGCCTCTTCCTAAAAATCCATGTCCTCCTCACATCTTCCCAAATCCACACAAACGCTAGTGCTCACGTTTTGGTCACTATGATTTCCAGTCAGATTTCATTATTAAGCAGCTACCTCTTTTCATTGTCTCACTTTATGGGGAGCCCATTTATACACAAAAAATAAAGTTTTTAACAGAAGCACAAAAAGCAACTCACTCTTTAAAAACCTTTGCTTTTTTGCAGAAGATTGATTGATTGATTTGAGAGAGAGAGAGAGAAAGCTCATGTGAGCAAGCCCGAGCTGGGGGGAGGAGCACAGGGAGAGGGAGAAGCAGACTCCCCGCCGAGCACCAAGCCCCCAGTGGGGCTCAATCCCAGGACCCCGAAATCATGACCTGAGCTGAAATCAAGAGCCAGACACTCAACGGAATGAGCCACCCAGGTGCCCCCCCAAAAATGTTTTTGCTGGGGAGCCTGCCTGGCTCAGTCAGTAGAGTACGTCACTCTTGACCTCAGGGTCATGAGTTTGAGCCCCATGTTGGGTGTGGAGCCTACTTTAAAAAAAAATAAGTAAAAAAATAAGTTGTGGTGTTAATATATACATAAGACAATATTTATCCTTTCAGCCACTTATGAATGTACAGTTCAGTGGCACTAAATCCACCCCCAGGCATGGGTAGCCAGCATCACTATCTGTACCCAAAACGTCTTCATCATCTCCAACAGAAACTCTGTTCCTACTGAACAGAGGAACTCTGTTCCTTCTCCTGCCCCATCAGCCCCCAGAAACCTCTCTTCTACTTTCTGTCTCTGTGAACTGGCCTCTCCTCAGTAACTCACATGTGTGGAATCAGACACTATTTACCCTTCCACGTCGGGCTTATTTTCTGACATCGTATTTTCAAGATCTATCCAAGTTTCAGCATCTATCAAAATTTCATCCTTGTTTTGTGGCTGAATACTATTCCATTATATATACCTTGCTTATCCATTCGTCTGTTGATGGACATCATTTGGGTTGTTTGCACCTTTTGGCTACTGTGAATAAAAGCACTATGAAAATGGGTGTGCAGGTTATCTGTTTGCGTCTCGGCTTTCAGTTCTTTGGGATACATCCCCTGAAATGGCGTTGCTGGGTCATAGGATAGTTCTATGGTAGTTTGAAGCAACTCACTTTTGAGGGTTTTTTAATGAATACGTTTATACCCTTACTTTGTTCCATAAAAGGATTTGAGATGTTTAGAAAAACACACATAATAAAGAGGGAGAAAGAGTTCAAAGAACTGTGGCAAAGGGAAGACTGGTTTGGAGCACCTGGGTGGCTCGGTCAGTTAAGCGTCTGCCTTGGTTGGGCTCAGGTCATGATCCCAGGGTCCTGGGATTGAGTCCCACACTGGGCTCCCTGCTCAGCCCAGTGCTTGCGCTCTCTCTCTCTCAAATAAATAAACACAAATCTTAAGAAAAAGGTGGGGGGGAACTGGTTAGTGCTTGGGCAGGGCGGATCTGCCCCTCAGACATATGCTCATGTCTTCTTCCCTCCTGGGATGTGCTGCCACATTCAGAAGGCTGTTTCCTTGGCAGATGACCCGGCTGCCCCACATTGGCGGAGTTGCCTCTCCAAGCAGCACACTTGACAGGGGCTTCACTGTGTACCCGAACCGGGTAGAAATTGGCACCATAACCTGAACCACACCGTGTTTCTCCTGAATTCAGACCTAGGCCTGGGTGGGTCCTTTAAGGACCATCGAGGGCAACCCTCTCAACACCCAGATGAGGAAAGATGCAGATCAGTTAAGTGCCCCCAAGGGAAAAGGCAAAGGGTGCAAATAGCAGAACTGAAATTCAAAGCCCTATGTCCGGATGCAAGCCGAGAACCCTCCCTGCTGCTTCTCATTTCCATGACCCCGCTTTCCTTTGCTTCAGCTCTGCAAATTCTTCACTTATTTGGGAAATTATGA